GGAGGCTGAGACTAGTGCCCTCAGGAGGCCAGGCTCCATTACAAGCTTGGCCTCCTAACAGGGTCGCCCAAGGCAGAGTGATCACACTTGAGACACTAGACTAGGATGCATCTGCCCTAATGAAGGCAGCTATTACGCGGCAGTGGCGGAGGATCTTTCACAGCCAATGGCGGCGACACTTAAGCTAACTCTTGCAATATGCAGAAAAAGGCAATGGTAACCCATTGCTAAAAATTTCTTACCTAGAAAAATCTATGATTTGACTGTCAACAATTAAATAAGAGAAAGTGTTAGAAGATGAGACTCCCAGGTCAGATATCAATTAATCAGCTACTGGGAAAGAGCAAAGGAGAAGTACGAATAGCTCTGTTGCTAATAACACAACTACATGAAAGCTGAAAGGATGTCAATATAGATGGCAACTAGACCAGTGGTTCTTAACCTTTGTTACTCGGATGCTTTTGAACTGCAACTCCCAGAAACCCCAGTCAGGACAGCTGGTGGTGAAGGCTTCTGGGAGTTGCAGTCCAAAACTCCTGAGTAACCCAAGGTTAAGAACCAGTGGTCCAGGACATCCAGATCTTTCTGGTATAATTCTTCTGTGTATTCTTGCCACCTCTTCTTGATGTCTTCTGCTTCTGTAAGCAGAAGACATCAATTGCACAAAATGTTCCTTTAATATCTCCAATTTTCCTGAACAGATCTCTGGCTTTTCCCTTTCTATTATTTTCCTCTATATCTTTGCACTGTTCATTTAATAAGGCCCTCTTGTCTCTCCTTGCTGTTCTTTGGAAGTCTGCATTCCATTTTCAGTAACTTTCTCTATCTCCCTTGCATTTTGTTTTCCTTCTCTTCTCTGCTATTTGTAAGGCCTCCTTGGACAGCCACCTTGCTTTCTTGCATTTCCTTTTCTTTGGAATGGTTTTTGTTGCTGCCTCTTGTACAGTGTTACGAGCCTCCATCCACAGTTCTTCAGGCACTTTGTCCACCAAATCAAGTTCCTTAAATCTGTTCTTCACTTCCACTGTGTATTCATAAGGGATTTGGTTTAGATTATACCTGACTAGCCCAATGGTTTTTCCTACTTAAATCAGTTTAAGCTTGAATTTTGCTATAAGAAGCTGATGATCAGAGCCACAATCAGCTCCAGGTCTTGTTTTTGCTGACTGTATAGAACTTCTCTGTTTTTTGATGCAGAGAATATAATCGATCTGATTTCGGTATTGGCCATCTGGTGATGTCCATGTGTAGAGTCACCTCTTGTGGTGTTGGAAAAAGAGTGTTTGTGATGACCAGCTTGTTCTCTCAACAAAACTCTATTAGCCTTTGCCTTGCTTCGTTTTTAACTCCAAGGCCAAACTTCCCTGTTGTTCCTTTTATCTCTTGACTCTCTACTTTAGTATTCCAGTCCCCTAGAATGAGAAGAACATCTTTCTTTGGTGTCAGTTGTATAAGGTGTTGTAAGTCTTCATAGAATTAGTCAGTTTCAGCTTCTTCAGCATCAGTGGTTGGTGCATAAACTTGGATTACTGTGATGTTGAAAGGTCTGCCTTGGATTCTTATTGAAATTATACCATTTTTGAGATTGTATCCCAGTACAGCTTTTCCCACTCTTTGGTTCACTATGAGGGCTGCTCCATTTCTTCTGCGGGATTCAAAGAAATAAGTTTGTTACCTTATTATTTATCCAATATCCATCCACTTGGTATATTGAAGAAAAAGATTAAATCTTATCAAAGGAAAACTTTTGCCTCAGGAAGCATGTCAGGAATATAGTTTAGGCCTAAAATGCAAAATCTATACTAATGTAGTGGGCCCCTGGCACAAAAAACGTTCAAGCTTTCAGAACCACCAGATGCCTTCAACAGGTAATATACTGTAAAAAGTAATAATGTTACTGTAACATCATTTGGGAATGCCTTAATTTTTTCCCCAAAAAAGGCAAAAAATATTTTGTTTCAACATTTTTTCAGGCTTTAATTGGGGAGGGTGCCCACAGGTATCAACAGTATGCAACAATTAGGGTGGTAGATAGGCGATGTCCCTGATACCAGTTGTCACACATTCCTGTGATTACAGCAAGCCTAAAAACAACATCCCTTCCCACTCCAGAATCAATGAATGTGGTGTAGCCGTTCTCATATTTCCTACATACAAGCAAGGCTCAATAAAGCCTACTTCAGCAGAGAGTGAAAAGTGGATAGTCTAGTAGTTACAGTCCCAACAGTTTTACAAGCTCTGGTTTCTAGTGTGCATATAAAGATATTCTATGCAGAGGAAAAGCCAACCTGCAACAACTGTTTTCCCTTTTTGAAATGCTGCTTCAGGGAAAGGCTCCTGCTTTAATAATTCCTTCTCTTTCAGGAATCCTACCATCAGAGGTAGCATAAATAGCTGAAGTCGCTACCCTTCGTTAATACATTCGCTGTTGCAACGCAATTAAAAGAATGTCGGAAAACCCTAAAGAAAAAAAAACGTGGTCAACTTATACCTCTTCATACCTCATGCCTTGGAGAAATAATACTCAAGAGCCCACACGTGAGAACAATAATACCCCATGCCTCACACCGAGTTGCGTTGCCGCTCTTTCTTTTCTGACAGGCGCCTTGTCTTCGACAACCGCCGCACCAAGTGAATTCTTAAGAGAAGGCTCACCACGTCCAGGACTTTTCACTTGTTCTGCAAACACAAATACACACACGAGAGAGATACCGCGGCAAGGGCCCGCCACGACGGCCGTCGCCCTTCCCGTAGCGCGCCTGAGGAAGGCAGAAGAGGAACACAACCAACAGGACGGCTAGTCTTTGCTTCTCGCTGCCGCCCGGACGACCAAGATAAAATGTTCGCGTTCTCCCCCCCCCTCCACTCCTGACCCTTGCTTTATGTTGAGTTTATGCCGCCGTTTCCCCTCCTCCCACCGCCCCTAAACATGCCTGCATAGGGTAGGGTGGGTGAGGTTTCCTTTACGGTAGCCAAAAGTCCTGTTGCATTTATGGTTGCTGCGACTGGAGCGTTCGGGTTTTGAGTTTACTGCGGCTTCTTGTCGATTTTCCCACTGTCGTGTAATTTCCCTTGATCTGTTAAGTACTGTACCTCGGTACAGTACTTAACAGATAAGAACCTCGGTTTCTGGCCATCACAAAACCTTGACGTCAGCTGTCCACCTCTCCTTCCTTCAAAACGTCAGCCACCCACATATGGCCTTTCCCGTTAATTAAAATGTAGTCCAGGCTTAACCCTCAAAATGAGCAATCTGCAATGCCCAGCTGCTACCTTGATGCCAGTTTTTTCCATCTCCTTTATGTTAAAGCGTTTCTGCCAAAAACTGTCACTGTTGTGTTCTGATTAATGTACTGGGAAGCTAGTTTAAAACAATAGCAACCAGGAGGTAAGGCTATGATATATTATTTCTGTCCTGCCTTTCTGAGCACCACAGAGCTGAAAATAATAGGATTCAAATGATTTAATTCAGATTTTCCTGATAATACACTTCTGAAAGAGGCCAGTCAAATAAGAGGCCTTCTAAGGACAGACAGTGCAGTAATAAGTGCATAGAAAACTTAACTGGAGGCCATTTAAAATTCTGAGCATCACAGAGCTGAAAAGGCCCCCCTTTCAGATACCCTCACACAATTCACCTGACAGAAGTAGCACTGTAGAGAGGACTATCTCTAAAGTCCAGTTAAGTTGTTGCAGATTTGCATATGTATGCTGTTCTTGTATTCTTTTGTTTTTAGCTTTTAGTATTGTGTTTTAAAATGAGATAAGCCACCTTGTGTCCCTTTTTAAGTAGAGGTGGAGAGATGGAGTAAAAAAAATTTTTTTAACAGGTGAGAGTCTTCTTTGAAAAGGAATCCTGTGATGAAGTACTTGCAATTCTAGAAAGCAAAATGAAAGCTTCCCACCTTGTGTCCCTTTTTAAGTAGAGGTGGGGAGATGGAGTAAAAAAAAAGTTTTTTAACAGATGAGAGTCTCCTTTGAAAAGGAATCCTGTGATGAAATATTTGCAATTCTAGAAAGCAAAATAAAAGCTTCCCTGAAAGCACTAGAAAGAAATAAATCACCAGGGGAAAGCACTAGAAATAAATAAATCACCAGGGTAGATGGGATATCGACAGAACTATTTCAAACCAGAGTCTGAATCTGTGAAAACAAAAATATGCCGAGAAATATGAAAAACAAAATAGTGGTCTCTAGACTGACAATATTCAATATACATTCTAATTTCCAAGAAAGGAGATGCCAAGGAGTGCAATAATTATAGGACCATTGTTCTAATTTCTCATGCAAGGAAAGTGATGTTCAAGGTGTTGCCACAAAGGTTTTCTTACTTTATACGGAGTGAGAAATGTTTGATGTTCAAGCAGAATTCTAAAAGGAAGAGGCACTAATACAGTTATCTTCTGGCTACAAAGAATTTCCGATCAGTCTGCTTTATAAATTACAGCAAAGTCTTTGACTGTGTAGATCATGGAGAGGCAGAATGGTTTTCTGCAGGCAAAGGTGTCAGACAAGGGTGTGTTTAATTCCCTTATCTGCAATCTTTACAAAAATCATATATAAAGCCAGACTAGATTCAGGATTATCTATCCACTGGTATACTAAAAAAAAATACAACTGTAGATTAAAATATGATTTTCCAGCAATCTGGTGGTACTAAACAACCAGATTTTCTTGTTTTTGCAACATCTGCTTCATAAAATGTTAAAGATAGTTTCTTGTAACAAGTGTGAACTTTTGCTTGTTTGTAATTGCATCTTGAGCTGCACACACATAAAAAATCAAATATAAGTATCTTAGTTAATTATCTGCCTACCCTGCCCCACATACCCAAAATCTCTCTACTCAATAAATGTGAAGCAAGATTACCATAAACATTTTATTAAGTTTCATTCAAAGTGTACAAAGATGTTTAATCTAACATTCATAAAATGTCTTTTTAGAAAACACAGCAGTTATGTGAGATTTTTAGAAATCCTTATCTAAATACTGTTTGTGGATTGTTACAAAGGTTCTGATCTTTCCTAATCACACTAGATAAAAACTGTATTTTTTTCTTACAAAAGTGCTACTATTCTCCAAATTAAAGAAGTAAATTAGAACTATAAACTGAACAATGCAGGTTTCCTTATTCTTTCCTTCTTAGGCTATTATAGAAATACTGGGCAAAGGCAATAACAACTGGTAAAGAAGATGCACCTTGGGTCTCCACAGTTGGCAAGCTGTTATTGTGCTCTTACTTTACAAGGATGAAATCACTTAAAGCAGACAGATCTAGGGGAAATATCCCATCAGTTTCTGGTTGAAAAATAAGATTGTCTTCATTCAGAGCTAACTCCTGCTGTGTGTGAATGACCAGATGAAACGAGGGCAAGAATTATATTGAAGGGAGCTCATTTATAATATCAACTTCCTTTCCTCTTCCATAGAAATAATAATGGTTAAGGTCTTCTTTCCTTCCCTTTCTTATTTGGGGTTCATATAGCAGCAACTACACATTTATGTGTAACGCAGCCCTGATTTAAAAAAACAACAGATTTATGAAAAAGAAAACCTCACACACTGTTCTGTTGCTCTGCTGAAAATGGATCCCTGCTAAAGACAATTTACAAGTACTTTGGAGTTCACCTGACACGTCTTCTTTCCTTTTTCGGAATAGAGTCCAAAAATAAACATGCATTCAAATTTTAATCATAGCTATTTATTAACTCTGCTGTCTCTTGAAGCTCAACTTTTAAACTATATTAATCATCACTCTATTAAGGTGCTATATAGTAAGCCAGCACACTCCAGAAATAAATTCAACACACTGCAGCTTTTGCATAAGTGCATAACAATTTAGATACCTTCTGAATATGCAGAACCCATCATCCCCAACCAGCATGGGATTATATGACTTGTAATACAAGTCCAACATATCCAGAAAGTACCAGTTTGGGGAAAGCTGACTTCCTTGCTCTCCATTTGTTACATAGCTGTAAATATATGTTATGCAATCCTACACCTATTCAGAGCCTCTACCCATAAAATTTTGCTCATAAAACACATAATCCTATTTTGATGTCAGAAATCAACAAATTGTTATAACTTCATATAGAGCCAGAGCAACTAACTAGTTAGAAACAGAATCAGCTTGCTCCTCAGTTTTCAAACAGCAATTGGTATGGAAGAATTAGAAGGTGAAGATTTTCATACTGCTAAAATAAATGTTACCACAGCAAGCATTAACTAAACATACAAGACAGAAGCATACAATGCAGTGCAGCAGCCCTAATTAACTTTCAGAACTAGGAGACAGGCTGCAATGTAGCATTCTTGTGTATACAGGACTTTCTAGTGATCAGCTTTAGTTGTTTAGCACAGTGGTCCCCAACCTTTTTGGGGCTGCAGACTGGCTGGGAGCAAGCTCCATGTGCAAGAGGGGGCCTCGTCACGCTCGCATGATGGGCGTATCACGCTCACAGAGGGTGTCGCACATGCATGCAAGCGCTACACGCCCCTGCGAGCGTGACATACCTATGCGCATGCATGGGGGGGCGGAGATCCGTATCCACGGCCCTATTCCAGCAAGCCCACGGATCAGCACTGGGCCACAGACCTGGGGTTGATGACCACTGGTTTAGCACATCTGATCTCCCACAATCTGCACTAATCCTTTCAGACCACCTGCCATATGGTCATGAGGGGACTATGACGGGGTCAATATACTATTTTTCAACTTCCAGTAAACTGAACTATGTGAGAGAAATTACTATGTAGATAGGACATGAGATAACAGAAGTGAACCTAATGACCTAAACATTATGAAATTCTAAAATGATATGGCTGCTTTAGGATAGGTGGTAGTCGAGCCTCTTAAGAAAATAATACTTCATAGGAAGCCACCACTTGAAGGTAAAATTTCAGCATGGATTATTTGTGCATTTAATGTTTAGAACCATCTTCATTGACATCTTCCTGAGAAGACAGCTGGCTGTGTTCACTCATCACTCCAGAATCTTGACTATCCACAGAAGCACCTGCAACACAAAAACAAAAAATAATCCAGTTTATTTGCCTGAATTTTTCCATATTTTGCATTTCCCTCCCAAAGAACTCAAACTTCTTTCTGTATTATTTTTGTTCCCCTTCCACAGTATTTTTAAAATCTGCATCATATCAGCATTTTGAAACTAGTAATAATTTTCTAATCATTCAGCATAGCTTCTGTGTATTAAATTTCAGTCACAGTCTGGGAAAATTAAATAACACATTTCTCCAATTACGATTATAAAGAGCCTATTGATTTATCTTATGATTTTTGTTACTTGTTTTATGTATTAAACACATTTTAAAGTTTTCAAATAAACCAAAAATGTGTGTTCAGGTATGCATTTCAAATTGACACCTGCCATTAATACCAGTTTAAGACAAATTATCTGAGCTGTTTGCCTATATATGACTACTCAAACAGAAAACAAAAATACTTAAAACTACCAAACCCGTTCTGCTTCATACATTCCTCCAGTATAAAATAAGTACTTGCAGGCAGCAATTCAAAGAACACAAGGCAAAGTCTGCTGGCCTGTATTCCTTGAAAATAAGGAATTTTTTTCCTGTAAATTCATGATTTATTTAGCCTGTAAAAATAGATAGCAGCTGCTTGTTCTGGGGTTAAGCTATTATACAGTGTTTCCCCAAAAATAAGACAGGGTCTTGTATTAATTTTTGCTCCAAAAATGCTTATTTTCAGGGGGTGTTTTATTTTTTCCATGTACAACAATCTACATTTATTCAAATACAGCCATGTCATCTTCTTCTGGTGGCTGCACAATGGTGGAGGGCGGGGTTTCACTTAACTAGGGCTTATTTTGGGGGTAGAGCTTATATTATGAGCATCCTGAAAAATCATACTAGGACTTATTTTCAGGTTAGGTCTTATTTTTGGGGAAACAGGGTAGTTGTATAGCAAAGCAGCCATATTATGATTGTGCCTCTTCAAAACTGCAAAGTCTGACGTGTGAGTACATCATAGGCACTTTAACAGATAAAAAGTACATGCTGTTAATGTAAAGGTCGAAACATTCTATCACTAATAGTCAAAGGATATCTGAATGTGCTACCTTAACCTGGCCTATACATGCTGGGAAGTAATTAGAGAAGATAGTAGGTTTTTTTTTACTACAGAAGTTAAATTACACTTATAGTGCTTCTGCAAAGCAAAAGTTCTTTGTGTCTGCAGATGAGCAGCTATTTCAAAACATATCTTCCCAGCATGATGCAAACTGCTGATATAAAGAAAACAATTTTTCAGTTCTCAAGCAACCTGATATGAGAGAGAAACAGTATGTGGTACATACATTCCAGGACTATACAGTCTTCAGAGATTAGGTCAGTTATTCCCTGTATATATCTGGGAAAATAATTTAAATTGTGATGTGCTATCTTTTAGCACATATGGATTATTTTATGGTGGTGTGGGGGAGAGATATACCATGTGCTATTTCTACATGTTTAAATTGAATCTTCAGTTAGGATGGGCCGGTGGAAATAGGGAAGGTTGCTACTAGTTTCTGGGGAAAATGTTTAACCCACTACTAGCTAATGTGAGTTTGAAAAACTCTGGAATTTATTTCTATGCCACTGACACAAGCCAGTCAAAGACTCAACACAGAATCATAAAATACATGACCTGGATTAATTTTTGGTGACATTTTTCTTTTTCTTGACTTTACAGAAACTAAAAGCAATGGTTATTCTCTAGAATCAGGAAAATAAGCAGAAAAAAATTAAATGTTTTCAGAAGACAATGAATATAAAGATGTAAGTAAAGAAATACAAACAGTGTAGCTTGTGGGCTGGAAAAAACAAATTTGATTGTAAGCCAAATTGCTAAGGAGATGCTAAGATTTCAGGTACAGTACTTGAGATAAATTTGTAAGAAATTCTTATCCATAGTTCCTAGATTGCTATGAAATATATCACTGTGAGTTTGCCTTCTTTTGAACCACTGTGGGTTCCCAGCCCTAGACTGAATGAAAGAAGGCGATATTAACACTCTTAAGAGTTCAAGTGTTGTCTCTTAACAGGAGCTAATAACTAAAATATTGCTTTTTGATAGCACAAGAGCATATACAGTTTTCAATTATTTGGATGTAAAATAGGAATGCATACAGAAAGCAACGCATAACTGCTGGGTAGCTCAGTGGTTTAAATCTCTGGCTGCACAGACAAAGGTTGGGAGTTCAGTTCCCCACTGTGTCTCCTTGACAGGGGCTGGACTCAATGATCCATAGGCTCCTTTCCAGCTCTGTAGTCCAAAAGTTGTTGTTGTTATATAATCCTGATTTATGCATTCTATACATTTCAAAGTTGTTTACAGATCTCACTGATTAGGCCTATATGTTTTTGGCTCTACACCTGGATGCTATGGCGCAAAACTGAAATCCAGCAAATGACCACTAGTGCTCACTGAAACAAGCACATACTATGCAGGATAGAGCAGGTTCATTATATAAACCAAAATCTCACCAGATGTCTTTTACAAACATTAGTACAAGATTCATGGAATTAAATATTTGGACTGCTCACCAGGTGTTTCCTTTGTAGCTTCAGTCAAAACGTTCAGTTGGAGAGGTGGTGGAATATAGTGAATCCCTGGTAGAAAGCCCCGAGGAATGAAAGGTGATAGTGGAGTATAATAACCTGGTCGAAAATCACCACCTGCATCTTGTATCTGCATAAAAACAAAGATATTTAATGTGGCTGTGAACAGAGTTGTCATCGTAAAACATTAAGAATGCTAATATGTAGAACACTAAGCCAAAATGTGTTTAATTATCATTATTCTTAAACAATGTAAACAGCTTTTAAAATATAACTTTTACAAGGGAATTACAAGGGAAATCTAGAAAGTTCTTACTACAACAGAGGAAGTTCAGCGTTTTCAAATTTTACATTATATATTCCAGGGTCTGCAGGATACTGGGCAAAAGACAGAAGGGAGGGGATAAATCATGAGATATTTTCTGTTGTTATTTGTGGGAAAGTTCCTTTCTACTTATGGAGACCTTTCACAGGGTTTTCAAGGTAGGTGAGATATTCAGGGAATAGTTTACCTTTGGCACGCACACACACTATGCAAGTTTCTACGGCCAACAAAATATAAATATAGTATTCATTGAAATTCACTATTCCATAATCAGCAATTTCTTTTACAAATGTATGGATTCATTATTATCATCTTAAGAGCCCATGAATCAAATATTCAGCTAGGTATGAAAAAAGAAATTCAAGATCTCCAATGTCTTTTTTTAATTTTTTTTTAAATTTATTTTGCTTAAGAACAACTGTGATTTGGGAAAGGGGGCTTAACACTTTCTGCTTAAATCACACCTTCTCAAAGCTGGTATTAAAAGATATGTAGCAAAAAATGTATTGTTTTAAATGCACAAGTGTGGATTGAAGCAGTATACTCTGACTTTGAATAAAAGACATCATGAATACTACCGCAAATTTTTAAGAGTGGCATAAGTGGAGACAGAATTTATCTTCCTTTTTAATTACTATTATGTGAAAAATAGGCAACTGCTACAACTTTCAACTCAGTGTACAAAGGAAATAAGTTAAACACCCAGTGTCCTTTTTAACTAACAGCTAAGTAACACTTGAATCATATATGTGACATATGTGACATATGTGAAGAAGGGTAGTATAGTATTCAGTGACAAATGATAATATACTTGTAACAGCGGAAAACATTCTCATTTTTCTTTCATTTAAAATATTTTTTCAGTGGCTGAAATCCTGTAGGCAGGCCTCCCACTCCATGCCAGACAGAAGGAGAAGAAGAAGAAAAAAAAAAATTTTAGAAAACAAACACTAAAAATGTGAAACTTAACAAATAAACATAATACGTTATCATACAAAATATAAGCATAATACAAAGTAAATTAATTTAAATTAAATAATGTATTAAAAACATAAAGTAACATAAAAAATAGTAAGAGTGTTAGTGAGTCAACTCAATTAATTAATTAAACAAACTTGTATACTGTGTTGATTAGTGATAAACAACTCTGGGTGGTTTAAATCCAGAGTGAGACAAATGTAAAATAAAACAAATCAAAATGTATAAAAACAAACAAACCAAAACATAAATCAGTATGTTCCAGTGAATCAAATGAGCCTACCTAGTTTTTACTTACCATACTGCAGACAAAGAGGCTCATTTGGCACAATGAGGGAGGGTTTGCCTCACTGAGTCCCCACTGATTCCATGGGTCAATGTAATGACTCATGATGCTAAGCAACATGATTTCAGCCAGTAATTCACAATATCAGAAGCCCCTTTAAAGTTTTCAAAGCATGTACTCACTTTTTAATGTTTGTCTCATTTTTTAAGGCTTCGTGTTTGAATCAGTGCTTTAAATCAGGGGTCCCCAACCCCTGGGCCACAGAGACAGATCTCCCACACACATCCTTTGCCCATGCACATAAGTGTGTGTACCCCCATGAGCTCCCCTGCCCCTTTCGCACATGTGCGTGAGAGCGCATCCCTTCGCGCATGTGCAAGAGCGGGTGGGGTGCCCTGCCTTCCCTGCACACGGACCCCTTCCTCCCCCAACCGGCCCACGGTATCAAAAAGGTTGTGGACCACTGCTTTAAATCTTACAACCTTGAAGAAGTATTAAGATTGGCATAGTAGTTGGGCAGTCTCACAGTACAATCAGACAGCTGGAAAGATGTCACACCAGAAATGGTCACTTTGTAAGGAGTGAGGTCTCTTAAAGTGACTCTTCCATCTGCTGGGCAATTGCTCTATACCTGCTCTCTAAAGAAGTAGTTATTGTGCAGTTTGACCAAAAAGGCTCACCTTAGGCACTGAGGTCATGCATTCCCATAAGTAATGTGATCACTAGGAAATAAAACATACTGGATCACTCCACAAGCAGTCCAAAATGCAATATATTTCCCCATGTGATCACACCCCTCAGTTTCTGAAGTGGATATTTTAGTTCCTCTATTGCAGCTAATTATCTCAAAACCACCTTCTGTCAGATTCTGTACAATATATTTTCAGTTAGAGGAAATGCATCAGATGGTTTTGCATCAGTGAGCTGGAGATTTCGAATGAAGGTTATATCTGAATAAACAATCATGTGTTTATCCACTGAAAACAAAGGAAAGCACCTGCCTTTGGATGTGTATCTCCTGAAACCTGTAGATAACACACATTCAGAGGGCCATCGAATTCATAAATACAGTACTCAACATTCAAACAGAATGTTTTCAACACTCCCTTAGACTGTAGATACTCATGACCACAGCATGGAATAATAAACATTTAAACAGAAATAAAGAGACACATTTTGCATGTACCTAAAGCTTACTCCACTTTCTTTGTTTTGTTGGCATACGTATTATCCAAAGTTGTCAGTAAACAAACAAACTGCAAATATTAGCTTTTTTCAAGTACACTTGAAATTGTGCATTCCTGCAATCCATAGAAAAATGCATTGTGCACTGCTGCTGCAGAGAAATATGACTTACTGGCATAGAACCAACATTTCCTGGCCCATGTCTGAAATTGGTTGGTAGTGGTAAAATGGGTGCAGATGGTGGACTTCTGTAACCAGGCTGACTGATGGTGAATCCCACAGGAAACGGATGATAAGGATACATTCCAGAGTACCCAGAATACACTTTGTGAGGCACTCTCTCCACAAATTCTGGACACACTGGAAAACATTCTTGAGGCAAAGTAGGATGGTCTGTAGAAACAGAAAATAAAATTATTGAATTGAATAAATGATCTTCTAATGACTGACTAATGCCAACAAAAATATAAATAAAATTACCACATCATTTAGTATTGCGAACCTGTGACAAATAACTTTGGCTAAAAAACTGACACATCAACTTAGAATGATGTTCAACACTTATTTAAACCATTCTTTAGACTATGGAAAGTAAATTAATAACAAATATAAAGAATTCTAAGAGAGAAAATATCAAGCCATCAATGGATTTCTTTCGTATCTGAAACTGTAAATTAAATTAAATAGTGCCAATAATGAGATAAAGAGACTGCAATTTTATATATTGTTTTGCTATGTATGTCCATTTGTTTTAAGTTTATTTTTGTTTGTTTTGGTTATATTTAATAAATAATGTACAGTAATAAATTTGAAACAAAAAAGGGAACCTGTTGTGCTTCTGCTATTTAACTACATGTGAAAATGTTTTTAAGATGTCCTCTCAAATGTACGGAGCCTCTTATCAATGAGTAGGTCTGTACAATTAGAAAACATAAATAATTAAAAAAATGAGGAACAGCTAAGTTGTATGGGTCTTTATAATGCAGTTCTCAATGCACTGGTAAGAGAGGTAACAGTTTTTTGTGGGGGCAGCCTCACAGCTGGATCCTACTTAAATGTGCTGTTGCATTGTTTAAATATCTGTACAACTGAAGAGCAGATTATGGATAAATGGCTCCAAATCTAAAAGGCCCTATCTTAGTCACAGATTGGCAGGCTCTGGAAACTGACATGACTTGTTGAAATGGTTAAATTGGATCTTTGCCTTTGAATCTACAGTATAGTATCTACAAATGTGAGTTATATCAGTATTAAATAAGAACAATGATATGATGCATTTGAAAACAACTTTACACAGCTTTGATGAGTAAATTCTATTTTCCAGTTCTCTTGGGAGCAGATAAAGTGCCAAGCTCAGAAAATAAATCTCAGAAAACGTACATTAATAAAATTAATTTGCAGAGATAAATTACAAGTTGTGTTTAATACTGTATCAAACCTGGAGAAGGCAAAACTATAATTGTTAATAGCACATAGCATAAAATGTTGAGAAATATTGAGAAAATATTGAGAATAAAATATTGTTGGACATACAACAGTTTGTTGTTTTTTTTAAAAGAAAAAACTTTTTTAAAAATTCAAACAAAAACTATGTAAGAGTCTTCTATGTTTCCATGTTGTTTTTTAAAATTCTTTTAAACAATTACCGGTACATATTTTTGGTTGAATATCCGAATGTAAATTATCAGCTCACTAAACCTAATACACTAGAAATTCTACTCCATTTTCCTCTTGTTAGCACATATTCCAAGAATATATAATGTAAAAGGGAAAGCTCCAAATCAATAATAAATGCAGTTCTGGAAAAAGGACAATAAAGGAAGAAGAAAAATAAAGACAGAGGAAGAAGAGGATTATTGCAAGAGGTCCCAACTATGGTGGTGGGAAACACAGTCAATTTGTATGTATTTTGGCTTTGTATTTTATGTTTATGTTTTAGTTAAAATTAAAAAATGTAAAAAAAAACCCTCTACTACGATTGTGGGTTACCAAATCCTTAAATCCAGCAATATTATACTGTTAAGTGGAATACTTTGGGGGTGGGGGTCCAGGTAGAACAATACATTTTAATTTTCACACAATTATTTTTCTCTTTAAATGTCCCCACAGAATTAAATGCAGGCATTTTTCAAAATATACTTTACCTGATCACCAAACTAAATTGTCAGTTAAGATAATAGCCAAATCCTAAGTTAAAAGTTATTTTTTTTCTTTTCATATTTCTTAAACACTATCCACACAAATCTAGCAGTAATGTTTTAATTTATTTATACTGGTTGTGAAATGTTCCCTTTGCTGAAGGGGACGTATGTATTAATAGCCACACAGCTCATTTTAAGTCTAGGCCCAGTGTTAATTTTGTTGTTATGTTTGCAGTGCAGTGTTCTACAGCTCCTGCTGCAACTTATTTTGCTCATATTCCAAATGCTGAATAAACCTGGTTTTGTAACAATGAAACATGGAGAAGCAGTCTCCAAGGGTGCAGCTACAAAGTCCTCAAGCTGGATATAAGAAATGCCAAAATTAATTTAAAAATCTGAATCACCATTGAGGGAGAAGTAATACAAACTGCACCTATAGGGCGCATGGGATTAGAGAAAATATTGAGGGAATCAGGTTCTACAGAAGGCAGAATAATTAAGCACATGCACAGAGGTGGCACAATGTCTATGAATACATAAGAATAAATACTTTCAGTAGAACTACAGCTGGTCCACACATACCTAAATCTATGAAGGTTGGAGAGCTAGGTTTTGGCAGTTCTTGGTCGTTCCCTGTTCTAGCAGGCTGAGTGATTTCCACAGGTATCTTGGCTCCTTCATGCTCAGCAACAGACTCATAGGTAGGAGGTTCTGAAGCACTCAGTCTTGACTGTTTCTTACTTCTCGCTGTGGTTGCCACTTGATCATCACTGGGGCTGCCCTGAGTAGATGGCAGTTCTTCCCTTGGTGGTGAATCTGGTCCCTGCCTCTTCAAGGCCTTCTGGGCAGCCATGATCTTCTGGCGTTCAGTAATCAGAGCACATTTCTCACATGGGCACTGCTTCCAGCGGCAATTGCCTGCATGGCCCTTCACAGGCACCACAAAGCCATGGTTCCGACAGCGTGAACATTTCGGGGCCCGAAGGGACTGAGCAGTATCTGGAGAATCCATAGCAGCCAACTGTCTGTCAACCCACAATGGTGCTAAAGTAGCAAGCCTAAACTGAAACCTGATCTTATGGTGTGCAGAAAATGGTTACAAGATAGCAATTAAGCCTGGGGCCTAGCACACAGCAGGGAAGGAGAAATGCTTGCCAATATTCAGACTCAATACAGTAGCTCTCATCAGAGGTACAAACACCTATACAAACTTTATAGAAATCTCTGTACTATTTCTTTCTTGACTTTTTAAAATTGCTTGCATATTGAAATCAGTCTTCATAAGAGGCATTGTTTTGCAGTTTAACATCAGATCACTGTGTTCCAAACTACCAAGCCATTACAAATAGTCTTGACTTTGTCCCCTCGCAGGCCTTTGGTGTTAGAAGTCATTTTGTAAAGGCAGTAGATTTAAAAACCAAGACACATAATTTTGTGATTCAGTAGGAAACCTAAGATGACAGGTGGCATTAACCAAGAGGTTGCTGTTTGAAGCTTGTTTGGCCAAACACACTAACCTGGCTTTATTCATCTTTTTTTCTATGCACAAGTGAAACTTAGATATAATTTTTACCAACTATGAACAAAAGCTGGAGATAGCAATGCTTAAAAATATATGAAAACTGAACTTAAGTTGTAGGCAAATACTTAAGTTAGACAAAAATATTTCAGTTACCAGATTTTAGCTAAAAAGCTTACAGGCAGGAATGTAAATCCTATCTTAATCTAAAATACAAGAGTTTATAGCCTTATAGCCTTAAAAAGCACATCTTGTAGAAAAGTTAAAATCCACAATAGAAGAAATAATATTTCTTTGTCTTTTAGGATGTTTGAACACACATATGAATAAACAATACATTTTCTAAATGCTCAACCAGCCAGTTATATCTGTATTATATACAGTATTATTCAAATGATGGTACAGCATAAGTTCATAGTCACAGAATATTCCTGCAACAAACCACTAAAAACATATGCAGACAGAATAAATTACTTCAATTCATATTTAGCACACCAGACAGTTAGTATGCAATTTTTCCTTCTTTCTTAAAATAATAATAAGATATCTAGGTATCCACACTTTGAAGAGATTAATTAACTGGGTGCAGATAGATGCCCTCAAGAACTTCAAGCAACGTTCCACATAAATAACTCAATTAAGTGAAACGGTCTGGCTGTATATCTAAGATTTGCTAATAAGCTGCTCTTAATTGAACTACATTGCACCTGGAATTCCAACATCCTCCAGAAATTTCAGGACGCTGCCATGTTACCCTAATTGGACACCTTCTCAGCATGTATTTTAAATAAATGTTGGTAAAAGAGCCTGTTGTATTCAAAAAAATTTAATCTTTATGTTTTGAAAGCCTTACTTAGTAAAATGCTCGCAATAGCAAAAATATGTTTTTAATAGCCTAAGCATGACACAAACTTTCCTCTTGTCTATTTGGTTATTTAATTAATTAGTTAAACAGTCAAATTATTACAGCTAAACAAATTGAAGTCATGATTTTTTTCAATAATGAATCAAGGCAAAGAAAAATAATTTTTGTTACTCACAAATACTATTGGTATGTAACAATTTAAGCACAGTTATCATTTCTTTTCCTATTCTGCCATTCCATGCTTGAAAACATACTTCTACATTAGCCCAAATTAAACAAAAGAATTTGCTAACCCCCCATTTTGAAAATTGTGTGGGGAAAATTCAGCCTATGCAACTTTACATTTCAAACTCACATCAATCACAACACTGCTATGACTACAGAAGTAAAATATTTAAACATATTGATTTGCCAATAAACACTGTTTTATTGCATAGAACATAATGAGACATTTCTATTCTTTAAAAATAAAACCATGTACAGTACATGCCTAGCTGGCCACTCCATGGTTGTGTTTATAAAAACTTGGACACAATAAAATTGCAGCCATCGGTGCCAGCAGAGCCTGGCATGTTTACAGGGGCCCAGCACATTCTTTTTTATGAGTAACCATTTGAGAGTCCACTGTGTGGTGGGGTTCTGGATGTCAGTCCAAAGGGATCTAGTCCTAACTACTGTATACCCCACTGGTGCCACACATTATTTAATTATTTTTAAAACACTGTAACATAGACAGCAATCCTTATCTAGGATCATCCATTTCACCCCCTTCCACTTGTCCCAGGGCCCTTCTAGTTATCTCTTCCATTATGCCTCTCCCCTTTCACCCCCTTCCACTTGTCCCAGGGCCCCTCTAGTTATCTCTTCCATTATGCCTTTCCCCTTGTTTTCTTGGGCATTCTTCCACTGGATGTCAAACCAAGCAACGTGACAATTTTTACAACCAAAAACCACACACAAATATTTATTCATTTGTTTTGTCTGCACCCATCTTATTTCAAGAAAATCACTAAGCTGTTTAGTTTATCCTGAGTGCCATAAAATACTATCCGCTAACCACAGATAGTGCAATTGACTATGTTATTTCCATCAAATTCAGAAAAACCTGACTTGTCCTATGAGACATCCTAGATGCGTATGCATGTTTATTATTATGCCCAGAGGCATTTGTTTATCTTAAAATTTTAAATTTATTTTTCCATAGAACCCAGACAGTGTTCTATGTAACTGATGCTGTTTGACAATAAATTTAGCCCTTATCAATGTGAGGTGGTCCTTGTGGAAGATAATAATTGGCTGTCCTTAATTTCACATGCATTTAATAGCCACCTCCTCTGCCACCATAACCAGTTTTGTGCCTTGAGGCCTTCCTGCTGTAACAAACCATTCCAACCACAGAGAATGAGCTAGAGTGGCTAGTTGCATAACACACAGGCAGCATACAGTACTAGAAGAGTAGGTCCCCTCTAGGCTGAGCCTCTGTGGTTACAAGAATCCTGGGATTGCTGACAGTTAGGGAAACTGCAACAGTTCTAAACATCTCAGGGCCATTTCTGTGGCCTTCAGTATGCCTTGCTTGTCTGCAGACCAGGGGACGTGCAGGCTTTGGAAAAAGGAGAGAAAGAGCATCGGCTTCTCTTCTCAGTATATACCATGGGTATGGAAAGCATCTGCCTCTTTTTCCCAGAGCCTTAAGAGAATTGGCATTGAAAGCAAATCGCCCAGGAGCTGGGAGAAAACAGGGGCTCCCAGAGATGATGCATTCCCCTATTCAAAGTTCTGGTCACAAATTTGGACAGTTCTTTGCCCTACCTTTTGGAACCTAGAAGAAGTCGCTAATGAGAGCTGCTTAGCCTATCTTCAGTGCAAGGCCTCAAGCAACTATGGGGAAATGGAGGCTGAGGCTTCCATGAATTGCTGCCCAACCTCTCTGCACCGACACCGGTTCTGTCTGTCAGCAGCTTCTACGGGCAAACAGAAGCACTCTGTGGCACGACAGGAGGAGTACAGCTGTGAGTATGGGTCACCAGTGTATTTGATGCTCTGCTCCCTGGGTGGCCTCTTGAGCTGTGGTGTGACCCACACAGCAGTAGTGCCACTAGATGTGGTGAAATGTCGTATGCAGGTGGATCCTCAGCGCTATCGGGGGCTCGTACAAGGCATTAACCTCACTGTGCAAGAAGAGGGGGCACGTGGTCTGGTCAAGGGATGGGCCCCAACAGGCATAGGCTATTCCATGCAAGGACTGGGCAAGTTTGGTCTTTATGAATTATTTAAGATACGCTATTCTGAATTATTGGGTCCTGAACAAGCATACCTGTGGCGGACCAGCCTATACCTCGCTGCTTCAGCCAGTGCTGAGTTCTTTGCTGACATTGCTTTGGCTCCGATGGAAGCTGTCAAGGTACGGATTCAGACCCAACAGGGCTATGCCAACACACTGCGGGAGGCAGTTCCCAAAATGTATTTTGAAGAAGGGCTGTGGGCTTTCTACAAAGGAGTGTCCCCACTGTGGATGCGCCAGATCCCTTACACCATGATGAAGTTCACATGCTTTGAACGAACTGTTGAAGCTCTCTATAAGTACGTGATGCCCAAGCCTCAGCATAAGTGCAGCAAGATGGAACAGCTGGGTGTCACGTTTGTTGGTGGATATATTGCAGGCATCTTCTGTGCTGTAGTCTCACATCCAGCTGATTCTGTGGTATCTGTGCTCAACAAAGAAAAGGGCAGCACTGCCATAGGTGTCCTCAAGAGGCTAGGCATGTATGGCATCTGGAAAGGCCTCTTCACCCGTATCCTGATGATTGGCACTCTCACTGCCCTGCAGTGGTTCATTTATGACTCCGTTAAAGTCTATCTCCAGCTACCTCGGCCCCCACCTCCTGAGATGCCTGCCTCTTTGAAGAAGAAGCTGTCTCATAAATAGACACACACTATGAGACCTGCGCGGCTGTGTTTTAAGGATGCTCTCATTTTTGTAAGCATCTCTGGTCCACCATAATGTGGTTATTAGTGGCCCATACAGATTCAATACAAGTTTAACCTAAAATTAAGCTGAACAATGCTTCATCGATCTATTAAATAAAGTACTGTACTTAAAATAACTACTTAGTACAAGATTAATGTTTCTAATTTAGCAGAATAACATTTTGTAATTTTATTTGGCTCCTAAATTTTCATAAATACATATTGCATAATGTGAGTTATTGTTTTTATAATGTGTTAAATATTTGATAGTTAACTATTAATAGCAAGTGCTAGATTAGCTGGTGATTGTAATGCTGTTGTGATGCTTTGAAGATTTTTAGCATTTGGTCAGGTTGTTAGCTCTGTCTCAATGTCTTGATCCAGTTTAAATTGCAGAACACTGCACATTGACTAACTATGCTTCTGTCTGTGAAGCAACTACAAACCACATATTCTAGAAACTTCTACTCTTAAAGATCACAGATCTTGCAGTGATCTTCAGAGCTGGAGGTATAATATACTTTTAACAGATGCCTTTATTTCCCTTCCCATGTTGCTCTTCTGAAAAACAACAAAACAGACTATTCAGCTTACAGATGTGGTACATAACAGTCCTTGTGTAATTGGATAGTCTTTCTGCTTGTATAAAATCTGCCTTGATTTGGAGGGAAGTAAACTTGTTATTTCGTAAACATTCTATAAATGTATAAGCACTGTACAGATAAAAGTGGGGAAAGAAGCTCAGGTAAATGTGTATGTTTCTTTAAAGTGTATGCAATGCTTTCCTTATAACGTATAGGTCATTTTCTGCAAAAATTTATCTGGATGTTTGTT